AATTCAGTCGCAACACCACATAAAAATAAAATTTTCTTTGTTCTTTAATCCCTGCTTGTATATTTCTACAAACATTTTTAAAATACAAACATCAAGGCTGATTAAAACTAATGTAACAGTAATCAAAAGGTGGGTAAGCACATTAAAAGGGATCGTCTGTACACACACACAAAAGGGGGGATGGGGACTTTAAAATTTCCTTGTTCTATTGACTGCCATTTCTTGCTTCCCATGCTTCTTATGCATTGCCAGCTGCTTTTTAACACTTTTTCTTGTGTAGAAAAAATTAATAGAGTTTTCCTAACTAAAAAAAAAAATATTTATAACATTCTGTATGAATGTTTAATATGTTATTAAACGTTGTATATTTTTTGTCAGAAAAGCTTTAGTAATCTTACAAGTATACTCATTCACAACAGTCAAAAGATTGAAGAAAGATATTCCATAATATTTCTTTGCTTAACCACTTACTGCCTGCTCTCATCAATATAAGCTATGGATTTAATTTTTTTTTGAACCATGATAATGATTACTTTTCTCAAGCAATTTATGTTATTACATCATGTTATTGTCACTGAATAAATAAAACTGTATCACCAATTGTATATTTCATAACTAATAATTATTGGACAATAGTAATTGCAATTACATTCTGGTGCTATGTTTGGCTATCAACCTGGAGTCATGGGAAATTATTCTCTATCAGTTTACTTTGCATCAGTTACTTATGCATTCTTACACAGTGCTTCAGACAGGCCGGAAATGCCTACGATTCCACAAGCTTTCAAGACCTTCCTTGTTTTAGAATTCAAGATATAATCATTGAAACAGCTCTGCGAATTCTGTAATTTTTTACAAAGGTACTCCGTACTCTATACGCCTTAATCCTTGGTCCAGACTTCCGTGATAGTCAAAAACTTTTTGAGGTGCATGAAGGCTCCATTCATATTTCTGACTGTCAAAGACTTGATGATTTTATCAGCTTCTTCTTCCCCATATTAAAAAAAAAAAAAAAAAAAAAAAAAAAAAAACTGATCAGTCTCCAACTTTTTATAAGTTTAAAAGTTTTTTTTCACCATTAGATTTTTTATATTGGAGAATACCATGATTACCAACATACTGAAAGAAACTCTTAGTTCATTTCTATTAAATTAAATGCATTTAAAATAATCAAACTTTATTCAGTTTACAATGCATTTTCTTTATATAAAAATACGGTGAATGATCTGCACGTCATGAAATTGGTAGGGTCAGTTTTCTTATTTATTTATCATTTTAGACATTAAGTACTAAAAATGGAAAACACGTGATACAAGAACTTTATACTTTTCAACATCATTCACCCCCCTGCACTAGTGCAGCAGGGTATTTTAGCACCTAAACACAACTACTTGTAATTATAAGAACAGATAACTGCTCTATCACAGGGTTACCATTGTGATATCTAGAATAATTGCTCTACCAAAATTTAAAAAAAAAACGTGTACATCTGACAAGAAACTTGTTGAATTACAACCCTTTTCATTGAAAAAGGGAAAAAAAAAAAAAAAAAAAAAAAAAAAAAAGTTCTATTTGTTCCTACAGCCAATTTTATTTCATTTATTCATAAAAATGTAAATGAGAATTTTTCTAACATTTCCCCTTTAAATATAAAATATAATTTAATTATGAAAATTAAATCTAAGAAAACTAATTAATCTAATTAAAAATCTAAGAATTTTCTTAATATCAAAACAAACTAATTTCCTTGCAGGTTAATTCAACATATTTATAAAATACTTGATAAATTTTTACTAGAACATTTTTTTAATCGAAAATCGGGTATGGGATTTTAATGACAAAGTTTGAAAAGTGCTAAATTTTGGATGGGCAAAGATCTTTCACAGTCAAGTTACCTATAATCAGGATAAAAGGAGCTTTAAAAAGAACTGCTGTATTTGCCATATATTGAGATAAGAAATAGTCATTTGCAAATCCTAGCTTTAATCACTGCAGAACAAGAAATGTTGGCAATCAATCAGAAATTTTTATGGCAGATGCTGAGAATAATGTAAGTTACAAGTATATACTTACATGATTTAAAAAAATAAACATATCAGAATTTAACAAAACTGTTGAGTCAAATGAATTAAAAGTAATTTTTTAAAAATAAATCTGATCAATTCAATGAATCAGTTGCCAATATACTATTTTGATTTTGAAGAATAACTGTAAAAATAAACTTAATAATTAAATTGCATAAGTATACTTTAGGCAAGGAAATATAATTTTTCTTTCCAAACAAGGACTTTTATTTTTAAATAAGTATACTGCAACTACTAAGTGAGCAAAAATATTTGTTTAAAATAACAATACATAAAAAAGACAAATTGGAATGTATATGTAGTACAGCATTAAATAACAATAATAAGTGATAAACAAACATTGTGCATGGGAAAGCAACTCAACCGTTAGTTTAATCCCATAATTGGTCCTTGATAGGCAGAAGAGAGCAAGAAATTTTTAGAGAAATTATATAATAAATATTTCTAATAGAATTAAATTTGTAATAACAAATGCTTATTCAGAAACTAATTATCTATGTTATTAAAAAATTTCTATCATATTGTCAAAATAAATACATTCTGATAAATTATAAATATGTAAAATAATAATAATAACTATGCTAAGAGTTTTATTTCAAATATCATATTTTCTGAGGAAAAATTAAAAAAAATAATGATAATCTAAATAAAATAGTTCACGCAATGATAAAAAGTTCTCAAATACTCTGAATGAATTAAGAAAATTAGAAACCTTTCAAAAATCAAAGAAAAACACAAATATAAAATAATAGGGCCTTTAACAACTACTAAACCTTTTAATAAAAAATTAAATTACAGTAAACACAACCATTAAGTTTCAAGTTAATTTGTAACATGTAATTTGCTAATAAGCAGTACTGCTAAAATCACTAACATATTTTAAATAAAATTAACAATACTTAAAATAGGTACAACTAAAAAATATATTTTATTTCACTAGCTTATAACAATTAAAAGAAATAACTGAATTATTTTAAATACAACATACTAAATTATAGGACAATATTTAATTAAGTTAAAAAATTTAATGTTAAATAACATCTATCCAATAAACTTGCTTATTCAACAGCTTAAATTCTGCAAAATCTGATTTATCATACAACATGTAAGCATTTTTTATTGAAAATAATCAATCATTCTTTAACTTAAATAAGAGCCATTTAAATGCTTTTTATTATATTAAATTGGGGTAAAATACTGAAATACTAATTTTATATAGTTAAGCTATTTTAAGAGAAAATTTTTAAAACAACACTTGTAAAGTTTATTTTAATTAAGATGTGATTTTCATACTAATTCCCCCTTTTTTTACCTTGCATTTCTTCCTTTGGCCATTACCAAAATGCAAATTAGGTAGAGTCTGCAAGTGGATTTATAGCGTAGAGAAAAAGAGAGCAGTAGCAATCTAACAGAAAAATTTTTTATTCCTGAGATGCTTGCTCATCAGTAGGCTGATCTGCATTTTGGCGAGTTATCTTTGCATTTTGCTAGTGTGCTAGTTGAAGCCAAATCAGCTGGACACTGAAAGGTAATTTCGATGTTTTACATATTTTAATATTTGAATTTTGAGACCTTCCAAGCAACAGTAACTAATTTTTTTATTACATTTCAATTTTACTACAAGATGTTTTAATAAATCTTTTAGTTTAGTCTTTGTTATTGTCTGTGTTCCTGGAGTTTAGATTTTTAATAAGTCCAAAGATAAAAATTTTTCTAGGCAATGCAAGGTATAGTTTTAAATAGCTAAATAGGCTTAACCTTACATACTTATGGAGACTTAAATAAATCTTGCATGTAATGAGAAAAAAAAAAAAATATGCAGAAATCATCATTTTTAGAATGTCTGTGGTCAGGATTATATGTATAATAAATCTGCACTGATAGCATCAAGTCATATGAATAGAAAAAACATTCAGTCAAGTGGCAAATCCTAAAAGTAAACATGTATAACATACACTATACGAAGCTTATGACTTGCATATCTCTGACTCAATATAGTGCAAAAAGCATATTCTGAATTTTTCTTTCTTTTTTTAATGGCAAAAGTGAACATTTAAGAGATACACAACTCAGTAGTATTAGATGTACAATTTGGGAAATAGAAACATTAAATACCAATTTTTATAATTCAGCTCATACAGATAAATATATGATGTTCATAACTAAACATTTTCCTTGTAATAAATATTTCTCAAAATACCTAGTATTTGATCACTTTAGTCCCCATATAAAAACCACAAGATAAAATTTTATATTTCTATATTTATCACATTCCTAATTATTGATGACACGACAACCTGCAGGTTATCAAAATAAATAATCAATACTCAAGAACTTTTGATCAAAATAGGAACATTTATCACACATAAAAAGTAACTTTCCTTAACAGCATACTAAATAAAAATTTTATAAAGGTTTATAAGGCTCAAATTTGACACACATTTGATCCTTATAAATGTAGTAAGTCCCAAGACTGGTTACATCTGTTCATAAAGTTTGTTTTTACTTTATTATTCAGGTCAAAAAAATATTTGTATCAATAATCTAGAAGGCATTCTGATGGTTTGCAGGTTGTGAAAATAATTAGAAACAGAAAGTACTACACATCAAATTAAGAAACAGATGGATAAACAGAATACTCCATAAGAAGTGCTACAGTACACTGCCATTCTGGAGGTTAATACTTTTTCCAACCAACTTTTTGCTTATTCACATGCACTGTTCATAAAACTTGCCTTTACACTTAGTACCATAATACTCAATATTTGATCACATAATACTTAGACTTGATCATTAAGTTAAAACCAAAGATAATTCATTAATATTAAAAACCTGCATTTTTTTACATTTAAACATTCCATGCTGGAAAATTATTTTATGCAATGAAACAATGGTTAAAAAGGAACAAACACGACAGAAGACTTAATATGTTTTTATATATAAATAACAACGAAATGCATTTTCTGCATAGGATAATTTTATATATTGTCTAGGCATATAACATTTTTGTCTTTGCCACATGAAACCCAGACATCGTTTCATTCTTATCTGGAAATATTCCAATATTCACGATCCTGCATACACCTAATGTACAAGACAGCGAATTTAATGTACATAGTCTTTATTACACGAAATTAAAAAAAGATGCTATAAACATCGATCTATTTCTTCATTAATGACTTGATTGTTCCAGTCTAAGGAAATATCATCCAGGTGATTATCAAAGTCAATAAGTTTTCTGTACATCTTGGAGTGTAATAGAGCAGCAGTAGCACTCAATGCTTTATGACCTTGTTCAAAATGGATACTAAAAAGGGAAAAGTGCATAAGAACATAAAAATGGAATACATAAAATAACTGTTCAAACTATATTTTATTCCTATCATTACAGAAGAATATCATCATGGTCCCTATTTATATATAAATAAACAATGAAATATTTTAAATCTGATATAGAATTGGCAAAAATTTTTAAGGCCTTTACAATAATTTGTAGCCCATTTCTGAAACTGAAATACTTGCTACAATTACAATACCACTGCAGCAAAATGATAAAAGCAAGATAATAATTTGTCGCAACAAATAGAATCAAGAACATTTTCTTTTGGCTCAAGAGTGTGAATTATTGACAATAAATGACTAAAAATAAATTGATTTCAGAATTAAGAACTTAACTTTAGTCCCTTATTATTCAATACACAATGCAAAAAAAAATGTGACAAGAGATTAATTCCTTCTTCAGAAAGACAGCTAGGTTCCCATGTACTGTTGGTTTATCTTGTGGTAAACTCATGTTACATACTCTCTCTTTACATCACCATACGACTTTTATTCAGATCCAGCTTGGCACTAGAAACTGAATCTAATACTACGGCTGAATAAGATCTACACAACAACAGTACAGAAGCTGCAACTGTACTTTGGATGTGGATATAAATAATAATTTTTAACATAAAATATTTTTATTATCTAATAATATGGTGTAATAATATGGTTAAGTGATCTAATAATATGGTTTAATTATACCAAAATTTTAACATTTTTGGACAAGTAGAATGCATGCTTCCATTTACAGTGTAAATAGCAATACTGCTGTAAAACATAGACTGCCTGTAGGGTGAGGATTGATTTTTTTTCACTGCTGATCAGGCATTAAATATAATGGCTATGTATTAGTTTCAGTAATTAACTGGCGTTTTGCATTTTATTTTTTCAGATAAGAAAATTTCTGTTTTGTATTTCTACCAACACATTAACTTTTCATTCCTAACCTTATTTCCAAGTTTTTATTTCTGACATATTCTGGGGTAATTATGCATAATGCATTAATTTTCTACAAACTTACAAATGAATGCAATCAACTGTTACATTTTTGTCTTAAATTTTAAATTTACATACATATTGCAGTTAATGAGGTATTTTAGATATAATATCAAACTCTACTTTTGAAAGAGCTGAAAACTAGTTTGCATCACTCTTTAAGATTAAATGCATAGTATAACCTGTATAATTTAACTACACATGTTACTAAGGGCAACGTTAACACATACTCACAGCTCAACAGCTTAATGCATATTCAATGAATCAACTAGCAGTGTTACCTTGTTGTTAAGCTGAAACTTAAAAGAAAAATATGTTCTTCAATGAAGGGCCTTTAGCTGTGGATAAATTATTTTTACTTCTTCCGTTTATAATACAATGAACTAACATTACATTTGAATTTGCTAGAATATTATTTGCTTTATGATGTCAGATTTGGTTCAAGGCTCAGGTAAATGAGGCACCACTCAGGTTAAGAAACTAGCGAGGACACTAAGTCAATCTATAATCTATGTATTGTATCCAAGGAGCATTTACTTTCCTCCTCAGGTCATGAGTATTTAGTCATGTTTATATTAACAGCATTAAGTTACATACTTCATAGTTTTTTGAGGAAAAAATATTAAATATCCATGTAGTTGTTATTAAAATATAATTTAATCAGTTGGACTTAGAAATTTTGCCCTCCCTTCCTTTTCATTAAAAAAAATACAAACACTTTTAATTTTATCTTTTTCACCTACATTCCACTTTGGTTATCATTATTAATCATCGATTGCCATTTTAAGCAGCAACTATTTTTATTATAGATTCACAGTATGCAAATAAACTTTCATGAAATAAACTGAATCCTTCAGAAGATCTAATAATTTATCAGAATACTGAGAACTTTCTGTAGAAAGCAATATTTTTGCTCTAGATTAGTAATATATTAAATTTTATCTAATGTAGCTATGTTAAAAAAGGGGGGGAAGAAAAAAAGAAAAACGTAAGTAGTATGGGAAATCTAATCTCAAGGTATAAATAAATAATATGCCCATTTGCAGGTACATTGTTGCTGAGACATCCACCTTAACGATCTCTATCAAGAGTGGCAAATATGCAGGTCTTCACCTATTAAAGCAGACATGGCATATTCACTTGCTACAATGCGTCTCTGCACCAGTGAAGAGAATGATGCAAGTTAGCATCAGAAATGACACTTCTGATTTTACAAGAAAGGTTTTCAGACATTAGGGGATCTTCTTTAGCTCAAAGATGAACATCTAGCATTCCTGCCTTTGCATAGTTTGTATGCCTTTGCATAGTTGTGCAGAAAATTAAAAATTAGTTACATATGAAAATGAATGATTCAAATATATGATTAAAATCAAAATGCATATTTTTATTTCTGTATTATCGTTAAAATCCAGCGTGCATTAATAATGAAGCCCTGCTTAAAAAGATGAATAAACTGTATCATCAATAACTGGATAGCTTGACATTCAACTCTAAATACTGTTTTTCAAACAGGAGAAAAGAATGCACTAGTCTTAAAAACCAAGTTACATTTCTAAAGCATAATCATATACATGTAGCCAGTGGTCAGATTCAGGCAATATGCACTAATACCACAGAACCACTTCCTAAAATGTTTTTAGTTTGGTAAACTTGTTACTGAAACTAAACAGAGAAAATTACTTACACAACTTATTAATATTTAGTTCTGCAACTAATTACTGCTAATTTAAGCAGAAGTGGTTGTTAAATTTTTGAATCTCCTTACTATGCAGAACCTAAGTTTATTTCGCAATTTAGATAGTGTTGGTGTATTTAATTATGGCAAAGCACAAGAGGGCTATCTGCCTAAGGGTAGGGATGCCTTCGTGGAGTACTTTCTAAGGGAAATTGGCTCGTATACACATTGCACATGGGGAAAACCATGAAAATGCCCATGCAGCCAGCCCGTTTGTGGGATTCGAACCTCAGATCAAACTACCAGTGTTCAGCGACTTTACCGCTCAGCTGCTGGTGGGCCTTTCACAATTTTAAAAAACTGAATTTTAGGAATAAGTCTACTATGCATACTGCAAAACAAAGAAGAATATAACTTAAGAGCATAATTTTATGCTTAGCACAACATGCTCTTAAGTTATCTGTCAGAAGCAAATTTAATAGTTCTAAAATAATTACAATATATTAATATTTCAAATGTCATAGCAGCCAATCAACCCTGAAATACAATTAAAAAAACAGAAAGTTCTTGCACCACATGGTGAAATGATTTGAAAAAGATTCCCAAGTGACAAAAATACAATCATGTTCAAATTTACCTTTACATATGCAAATATAATAATATTCCATGAAATATATAACAGATGTAATGCATTTTTTGCAGGGAATGTATGAAAGACATACCTAATTAGCATTATCCAATCAAAAGTGATTGAAGGGTTTCTGATATGCAAATCAAGGCATTATGCAAAGTGAATATCCGAGCAAATTTCTGCAATACAACTGTTTTCAGTGTGTAAGGACTTAAAATGGTTTGCTATTGTTTCAAAGTATCATTTAAAGAATCTGTCAAGTGATGAAATTTAACCCTTTAACTGCCATGGCAAACATACAAGATTTACTCCCCAGTGCCACCATTTTTCACACAGGCACGCATAGTTATGTGATGCATTAGGGGGAAAATAAGTGCTAGTTTTTCTGTCTAAAAACTGTTTACATTCACAAAATAAAGAGTAAAAGGAAAAAATGAAAATGCAAAATTTAATGTTTACAGTAAAAGTATAATTAAAAAGATGTAAATATAATAAAAATGATGTTTGTGTAATAAAAAGATCCCCCCAAAACTGGAGTTTCGATCAATTTATTTTTAGATCAGTAAAGTGAAATATCACGTTTCAATGTTATACCTAGTAAAATCAGTATACCTAGAAAAACATAAATTTCTTCTGAATTGATTGTATGTTACGATTTTGTTCTCGATTTTTTTTTTTTTTGCAAGATGTTGGTTCATATACTGGTCTGCAAAACAGTTAGTTTCAGGCACAATATGAAGCATGAGCACTTCATCAAAAAATTATTATCACTGTTAGACATAATTGTAAAAAAAGCACATACTACAAGCAGTAAGTGAAAATGGAAGACACAAATAAAAAAATATTTTTTGCTCAACCATGCAGTCATTAGTCATCACTATCAGACATATTCATAAAAAAAAAAAAAAAACACACCTACTACAAAAAGTAAACGAAAACGGAAGACAAAGAATTTAAAAAAAAAATTGTTCAAACAAGAAACAAGGGCAATAATTGGACAGTCATAACTTTCACAGTTTCAGAAACATTCCCCTCTCCTATTCCCCCTTTCTCTGAAACAGTATCTTCCTTCGCATACTCTGTCAAGGTCAAGGTGTCGCATTCCAAAGCTTTGCAAATAATTTAACTGGCAACGGCGCAAAGCAAATGATAGTATTTCTGAAAGACATATATGTATGCCTACAATGATAGAAGCAGTGAGATGCATGATATTTTTAAGACTGTCTCTACTGGTTTGAACTAGTTTAGGACAGTCTCTACCAGCTATGGAAACAACTCCAGAATTCTCAAAAGGCTGCCTGGATAACATTGTAAACAAATGACAATTGCTTTTCAAAACCGATATCTGGCAGTAATTGCCCATTGTAACAGGAAGGCTAAGCTCACAGCCACTACTGGAAGTATTGTATCATGGTAAACTGTATACAGAAAGCTTAATGAAACACACCTTTATGCCAGAAAGCCAAGGGTACAAATGAATCTAAATGTGTCTGCATCTGAAGGGAGTCATAAACACAAAATATTTCTTTGAATATTATGGAACATGACTGTTTTGGTAATGCAGGTGTGATAGAATGGAGAGGAATAATGATCGATGGACATACATCATTATGTTTTCAACAGTGGATCTGTGACTGGCCACAAATATCAGGATGAGGTCTTAGAGCCTTATCTAAGTTTT